ACTAAAACTTTTTAAATATCATTTTATATATTATTATGCTAAATTTTTATCTAAAATTAATATATACAAATTAAAAAAATAAAACTGATCAGAAATAATAATTAACTTTTATGGCCATTAAGTAATTAAGGCGTGACTTTTGTCAATTTAATTAGTCCCTAGCCAATAAGGAATTTTCTTTTATTATAGTTAGGGTAAAGAAATGACTAACCGAATTTTTTTTTTTTTTTACTCTTAGTTGCATAATAAAAGAAAATCTTCTTATATTTCTTAACTTACTTTACATATATGTCATATAATTCAAACTCATAACTTATTACTTTTACGATAAAAAGATAACTATTAAACTACTTAAGTTGTTAATTAAATTTTACATAATGGCAGATATTTTTAAAGAAAATAATTTGAATATACTCAATTCAATTTACATCTTGACATATGTTCATTTCAATCATTAAATACATAACATAAATATGACTGATTTTACCAATATTTATATCTTGTACACATAACTGTTTTTTTAAATTTGTTTATTTTTAATTTTAAATCAACTCAAAAACTTATAATTTTTTAATAAATGTTTTATACAATGTTGTAAACCAAAATGTATACCAATATTGTCCTGCTTTTAAGCATGGTTGGAACATGTTTGGATGTGTAACTTTTTAAAACTTAAAAGCTATTTTAAAAGGTAATTCTTAAATTTTTCTTTGATAAAATTTTAAGTTTAAAAAAAAATTTACTTTTAAATAAATACTTTTAAGTTTTGCTAAACACTCTTCATACAAGTGAAGGACTTATAATTAAGCTTACTTGTTATGCCAAAATTCTCATTACAGAAATGACATATTAAATAAAAAAATCTTCATCAAATCAAATTAATATAAAGAGATGTATATGTTAAATAAATAAATAAACTACTCTAAAGTAATGTATTGCAACGTGTCAGCAAGCGAGGGGGTAGTGTTAAAGAGAATGCTTATGGGCGAGTGCCCTTAGCATTGCTCAATGAAATGTGTGGCTCTCAATTGAAAATGATGAGTACTCGATTTAAGTGTTTATGTAGGTAGGGTTGTGAATAAGATAATGAACTGAACTAATCATGTGTGAATTACTCGATTTAAGCTTGATTAACCAATGAGTTTGAACTCGAGCTCAATTTTAGGTTAGAAGATATAGTTGAGCCCGAGCTTAAGCAATTAAGGCTGAAAGCTTATGTTGCGCTGGAATTAAATAAAAAGAGATTAAATCTCCCTTTCGGTCCATCAACATTGAGACTGGAGTGTTTTTGGTCCTTTAGCTCTGAAATAGTAGACCTTTTTGATCCTCACGATGATTAAGTGTTTACCTACGTATCAGTTAATTTAATTGAGGGCCTTTATCTTGCGTCCAACTTTGATCTCTCAACTTGCATAAAATTGATACTTTAGTCCTTATACTTTTTATTAAAAGTATGATTTGAACTTTAATTGATTTTATCCATAACTTAAATAATTCAATGACAATTTTATTCTTGTAAAAGTAAAACATCCTAATGAATTGAAGTCATATAGTATATAACTAAGATATAGTGAATTAAGGAATGAAAGATAATAACCTTCTATTTTGTAAACCAAAATAACAAAAAAAAACTTTAATTCACCTTAAATTCAAATAAAAATTTTTAAATTAATAAATATAAAAGAAAGCGAGTCGATAACCCAACAACCTTTAAACACTCAATCTATTTACTTAATTCCATGAAGTGGAACCGGGGCAAACGCAATTTTTTTCTTTCTTTCCCATGTTCAAGATTTTGATTTTACATCAAATCCTTGCTAAAATAACATGTCAAATGAAACAGAAGGTGTCAATAGAAATGATTGTATTTTGAATTAATTAAGTAATTTAGTAATAATTTATTTTTAATAAAAGCAAATAATCTTAAATTTAAGTTATATGATATAAGAGTGAGATGAATTAAGAAATAAAAGAGAGTTATTTTTTATTGTGTAATTTAAAATAAAAAAATAAAAATAAAATGATTGTATTTTGCTAGGTCAATAAAATGGTTGTTAGTAAATAATAAACTATATCGTCAATCGTGGAGTGAAATTTGGGACTGAGAAAGGGTAAAACTATCATTTTTTTATGTTCTACCATTAATTATTTGTAAAAAAATGAAAAAAAAAAAAAGAAGAGAATATTGTTGGGTGAATCTTCTTATAGTGGAAATTGTATACTTATATATATATATATACACATGTGGAAATTGTATATTTATATATATATATATATATGAGGAAATTACATACTTCTTCCATTCAACTTTAATTGTAATTTTATTTTAATTTTTTGGCTTTTAAATATAAAAATAATATATTTATAATATCACATCACACTATAACCTCATAATTATGACAATTTATTATATGATTGATTCTTTTTATTTTAAGTACACATATCACTGATATGTATTTATCTATTTAATGCATTTAATGACATGTAATGTCTATATTATATCATAGTTGACACAATAACTCTAGCTAGCATTGTTGTTTTAAATATTAATTTTAGAGAAAAAAAATTAACAAAGCATATGAAAAACAGTTAAAATTTTTTATTTTTATTATACAATGTTCTTGTTAAGTAGTGTTTTTGATAAAAAAAAATTAATAATTTATATATTATTTTGTTAAATTTCTATATAAATTAATGTATAAAAATAAAAAAATTAAACTTGAACAATTAAAGTTAATCGGAAATAATAATTGATTATAAATAGTTTAAGGAATTCAATGATAATTTTCTTCCAATTGAAATAAGATATTATAAGTTTAAATCACACAGTATGTGAGTGAAATGAATTAAAGAATGAATAAGATTTGCTTCTTATTATATAACATAACATCCAATATATATGTATATATTCATTGATACGTCCTTTAGTGCAATATATCACATAATACTCTTATTAAAACATCATTATTTTCTTGTATAAAATTAAAAATAAATAAGTTTAAATTAAAACACAATTATACATATAAGATGTAATAATCAATTAAATTAGTTGTATTTATATTATATTTTTAAAAATAAACTAGATGTGTGTGTCAAAAAATGTATCTAATCAAGTATATAGTAATCATTTCTTTTATATACATTGAATCTTATAGGCATTAAGTAATTAAGGCGTGATTTGTACTGATTTAATTAATCTCCAGCAAATAACGAATTTTCTTTTCCTATAGTCAGAATAAAGAAATGATGTTCACTGAATTTTTTCATAGTGGAAAAGTGCTAGCTTGCGGTATAGAGACAATCTCCATTTATATTTGTATATATGATATGAAGTCAAGATTTCCCATACAAATTAAGTTCTCCTTCCTTCACGGCATCGTATTGGGGGCAAGGCTCTCTTTTTGATGAGTAATATGAAAAGTTGCGACAGTTCGGGACTGTATGGGTGGAGGGTCTCTTAAACTTATTAGCTTACTTAAAATTCAGGTAACATATCATACTTAAATGGAAAGAGAATTAACCCCCTTAAGTGGGGCACTTCTCCTGTTGTAAGGCATTTATCTGTGTATATGCATTTAAATAGTATATGTGAGATTTTATACAACTTTAAAGTAATCGATTTTAAAATTATAATGTGTTCTATTCCTGTATCTTCTACTTTTAAAAAAAAAAATGAAAAGAGAATTTGTGAAGTAAGAAAATCTCACCATCGTACGAAAATAAAAAAATCACGAGAATTAAATATAAAAAAGATATTAAATGTAAATCGTAATCTTTTAATTTTAAAATTTTACATAATTTTTATTTTTTAATTATTGTAAGTATTATTTTAGTTTGTTAATTTTAAAAAAATATATATTTATTATT